CCTTTCCTTTTCTTTTTCCTTTCCTTTTTCCTTTCCTTTTCTTTCCTTTCCTTTCCTTTCCTTGAAATTTCCTTGAAATTTCCTTGAAATTTCCTTTCCTTTTTCCTTCCTTTCCTTTCCTTTCTCCTTTCCTTATCTCACCCATCCAGCCCTGATCCCAGCTGCACTCTGTCCTTTGAAAATCTCTGCACACCCTCAGAGATGCAGCAGCTCAAGAGCTCAGTGCCAAAAGGGACCTCAAGCACCTCCTTTTTCCCCTGCCTGTCCTCCCCACCTCACCTGCTCCATCCCAGCATCACACAAAACACTGATTTAAGAAAAAATAAGGGAAAAAGAAAATCCAAGGAAAGGGTTTTCTGCCTCAGGATCTGCTTTTCCCTCAGCAGATGGGGATTTCTGTGTCACCATCCTCTCCACATTTCATGGCATTATTTGCAACCTAAATCGTTAGCTCTGTTAATGATTCAGTTAATCAGCATTAATGATTCAGTTAATTCATTAACTTAAATAGTTCCCACATTTCAGTTGGTAGATTCTCCATCAACACCTGCAGCAAGGCAGCCTGCCTTTGCCAGCAGCTTTTCCCTGTTTTTAACCCACGAAAAGGTAAAAAAAGGTGGAAAAAGTCCCTTTTTTTTTTGCTTAAAGTTCAGAGAGACTCTGCCATCCTCTGTGCTGCTTTGGGATATTTTACAAATGCACCACTGAGGGGAGTTATAAATGGGTAAAATTCTTTAAATCCACAGCAAAAGTGCTTTGCAATATTTTAATCACGCACCTCATCTGTTTTCTAGCCTGCAGTACCAATTCAAGCTGCTTCTTGCAGCTCAGGAAGGGAAGAGACCCAAGTGAAAAAGCACAAACAGCTCCATGGCAGCCAAATTTCTCCATTTATCAGCTGCTAGCAGATAACAGAGGATGCAATTTTTGGTTTGAACCACGCAGCACAAGTGGAGCTGTAATCAAACACCTGATCTGGCCTCCAGCCAAGCTGGTATTCCTGGCAAACAGCCCGAGAAGTAGATGGGATTTAACAACAAGTGCCTTTTGTTTGCACAAATTAACGTGGAGTTTGCCCTTGGCCTGGGAGAAACAAACCAGAGATGGTATTTTGCTGTTAATTGGTTATTTATTTGGTTTTTTTTATCCTTGTCCTGCTGCCCAAAATAAAGTATAAACATGGCTTTGCCCTGCTTTATTAGGGGCTGAAGGTAAAGCTGCCATTTCCAGCCAAACTGGGATAATATCAATTTCCAAGGCATTTTTGAGGCCACCTTGCTCCAGCACAGCCCTTGTTGAAATTCAACAGGGAGATTATTCCTCCTTTGGAGGGATTAGAGGAATTGAAGAGGAACTGCCTTTCAATAATCCCATGTAAGTATCTAATCAACCATAATGTAATTACCAGAAAGTTTTAAAAGGTCAAAAAGGCCTCAGTGTGACAGAACTTGAAAAGGAGAAGATTCTTCCTCTGCTCAGGAAATGATTTAGAAAAAAGGAAGAAGTTTAAGAGAAACAGAATGTGAAAGTGGAATGTACTTTTCATTTTCCATTAAAAACTTGAGAAACAGGCAAGTAATAGCTGGAGTATATATATATAATATAGAAATTATTAAAATATATCAATATACAAATATTTTAATATTTTAATATATATAAATATATATTAAAAGAGAAATATAAGTATATAAAATATAGTTATTTTTAATATATATTTTATATATATATATTTTATATATATATATTTCTATATTTTTATATTTATTAGTATATATCATGTATTTATATAAATATATAAATATAATTATTTTTATATTATAATAAATCTTTATAAATATATATTATTTATAAAATATACTATATAAAATATAAAATATAGACATGTTAAATATATAAATTATAAAATATAAATAATATATATTAACATAGAAAATACATATTATTTATATAATAATATATTTTATCTTTACTATCTATTATACATTATATATAAAAATATATAATTTATTTATAAATAATATATAAATTATATATTATAAAATATATATTATAATATATATAAAATATATATTATTCATTTTTATATATAGAATATAATTTATATATATTTATATATATATCTCCACAAGTAATAGCTGGAGTAGTATTTTAGATATATATTTTATATATCTTTATTTATTTATAAACGATAATATATATTATATAATTTATTCATAAATTATATTATATTGTAATATATATGTAATACATATTACATAATTTATTCATAAATAATACATAAATTATATATTATAAAATATATCTTATAATAT